ATCAAGGCCTACTCTCGTCCCAGCCCTCCCAAGCAGTATCTGGCTTTTATCGTTTTCAAGGTCCGCACAATGGCGGACCTCCAGTGAATGGCGCTAATTTTTCAACCAATAATTACAGCCAGGCTCGTAGAGGAAGCAACCGCAAAGCTGGGGGTTCAGGCTGTGCATCAAATATACCCGATCTTAACCATCGTTTTACTTCGGGTCCCAGTGGCGTCGGTTCCGGTGGCGTATTTGTATATGTGCCTGCGGAGATGGCTGCTGCAGCGTATCAACAGGCTCCACATTCCGTATCTGGAGGGGGTCCTATGATGGGGGGTGCAATGTTGTTAGGCCCTGGACCATCGAGCCGTTTAGGTAATCGCAGAAGATCGATTAGACGAGGTGGTCTGCATGCTAGACAGAACAACCTTAAAGAAACGGGTAAGTTGTTTGCATCTACTACTTCATGTCCCCCCTTGTTAATAAATTAATCACATTTATTTACGAGCCTTCGAGAAGAGGTTGCTCCTCAGGGTGTAACTCATTTATAGGTCACTGTAATTTAGGTTAAACCCTTTTGTATTGAGATTTAAGCTTAGTAACACTACGGGCTTCCTAAATGAACCCAAAGCTCTCTTTATTTTAAGAAATTAGAACGGGGCAAGATATACTTAGACTTATTATAAAAAAATATTCTGCAGTCATATTTATAGATTCTCTTAAAATTTCTCATTAATTGATTTACCTAATTAAGTAAGGTACAATGAAAAAAGAAACGCTGTAAAACGTGTGTATATAATATTACTTTCTCATCCAAACTCCAAAATCCTTTAATATAATGTCTCAGAGGTTGATTGCTCTACGCCATATGACTTTGAATCTGCTAATGCCGAACTAGAGGCTGAATTGGCTAAGCTGAGCATCTCGTCGGACGACGACGTTGGTGTGGGTGAAGCAGGGTCGATTGCACCCTCTCTTCCTATCTCAGAGTCAGGGGGACAGGGAATTGTAAGCAGTACTTCTGCCTCAACAGGCAATGGGGACATTGCTCTGCTTGGCGAGGCAGCCAGACTTGGTAGAGAAGTTTCGCCTTCATCATCTGCTATTTCGTCCTTGGCTGTTGGACAGGCAATGTCAGGGCAGACTAATGCTGATGCAAATGGAGCATCTGGGGATAATATGGCTAGTGTGGTGTCCTCAAGCCGGGCAGGTGGTGCGACGGTGGACGATGTGTCGAATGTGCAAACGACCCAGTTATCAAAGTAAGTATAACTTTTTTTCAACTTTCTAAGCTTTCTTCGTTTATTGTAGTGTATACTTCTTTCGGTTATAAATATTTTCTTCAAAGTATTTATAAACACCTACCATGTATTACTTACTATATTATACGTCATTGGAGCTTCCATATAATATGAAATTTGGATTCAGAGAATTTGTAAATGTTCTTCTTTTAAAACCCTGCAAACACCCGTATACTCAGCCAATTTTTTAATTATATGCTTATTCAGCCACCAGGTTATTTAATCAGTCTTCTAAATATTGATGTCAAAACTAATGAGGAATCTC